TCCCTGCCCTGGTCCAGGCAGCAGTGACTCAGCCGCCCTCGGTGTCAGCGAACCCGGGAGAAACCGTCAGGATCACCCGGGAGCAGCCACGTTAACCATCAGTGGGGTCCAAGCCGAGGATGAGGCTGTCTATTTCTGTGCTGACAGCAGTGCTACTGCCACAGTGACACAAAGCAATGGGGAAGTGATACAAAAACCTCCTGCCATCGCAGGGCCACTTAGGAGTCTCTGCTGTCCCCGTTTGCTGGTTGGGCAGGTGCCCGCCATGGCCCTGCGCTTGCTGCCCTGTGCTGCAGGTGGCTGTATGTGGTATCCTGGCTTGGCCATCCCTTAGAGCCCCACATCTGTGCCTGTCCCTTGTGAGCTGGGGAGGGGATGACCCCCAGCTACCCTGCCCCTGCCCAATGCTGCAAGTCCGAGGTCTCCTGTGCTCCCCAGCTCTCACCCAGGGCCCTGCCGGGTGCCTCCCTGCCCTCCTCCCCACCCCGCTGCACCAGGAGCCCCCGGGGCATCACCCCAGGGGGGTCAGCCCTGCCAAAACTGCAGCCCCAGCACCAAGAGGTGGGGATGTGCCATGGGCAGGGGAGCTGGGCCAAAGCTTTGCCTTCAAACCTGGGGAAGGGACATTTCCCACGGGCGCAGCAGCTCCAGGGCAGTGCACGAGGCTGCCGGGGCAGAGCAGGGCTGGCCGGCGGCTGCTCTGTCATGCTGCAAGACGAGCCCATGGGCTACTCCAGCATTGGACGTGTTTGCCCCGTGCCACCCTATTGTGCTCACGCTCAGCACGTGCAGGAGCCCCCAGCACCTCTTTCCCCTTGGGAAGCCTCTGACCCGGGGCAATGTCCCACTACAGCCCCAGGACAGCAAGGGGTTGCCCAGCACCCTGACCCCATCCCCATCCTCTGTCAGGATCTGCTGCCTGGGCACCTGGCGCCTGGCTGGCCTTGTCCCTCTCCTCCTCGCAGTGCTCGCCCATGGCTCAGGTACCCTGTCCAGACTCACTGCGCCCGGCTGGGGTGTATGGGCACAGGGGCCTCATCCACATCCCGCTGCCCGGGGAGGGCTGTGCTCGCGGGGCACTGGCTGACCCCCGTCTTCTCCCCTCTCTGCTCTCCCTTCCCAGGTGCCCTGGTCCAGGCAGCGCTGACTCAGCCGCCCTCGGTGTCAGCGAACCCGGGAGAAACCGTCAGGATCACCTGCTCTGGGCTTAGCAGTGGCAGCTATGATTATGTTAGCTGGTAGGAGCCGAAACTTGGCAGTGCCCCTGTCACTGTCATCTACAGCAGCAACAAGAGACCCTCGGACATCCCTGCACGATTCTCCGGATCCGTGTCTGGCTCCACGGGCACGTTAACCATCAGTGGGGTCCAAGCCAAGGACGAGGCTGTCTATTTCTGTGGTAGCAGGGAGCGCAGCAGTGATGCTGTTGTAGTGACATATGGAGATGTGGAAGTGAGCTACAGAGGAGTTAAAAATGTTTTTTTTTCTGCCCTTCTCCCTGCTGTCTGAGCAGGGCTGTGGGGCTGGGGCAAGTTCCAGTCCCTTTCCAAGGACGTGATTGTGAATGTCCTCCTGATTGTACCATGCCATTCGGGAGGTGACTCTGGGGCCGGGGCTGCTTCGTGTCTGTCCCTACAGAAGGCATGGCATTGTTTTGTCCCCAGCCCCACTGCCTCTTGCTCCCGGCAGCCCCATCCTCCTCTTGCTGCTGGAGTTGCCTCTGTGCTGGGATGCTCTGGCCTGGGCAGGGCCTGAGCAGGGCTCCTCCATAATGTGCCCATACCCTGGCTGGGGCCCTTCTCCAACTCCGGCACTCCCTGTCCCTGCTTCTGCCAGCTTTCCGTACAGGGCCCCAGGGCTCTGGCCTTGGACTTTGTATGTTTTGCTCTGGGTCCCTGCCTTGCATTGGGACCTTATGGATTAAGGGCCCCGTCTTCACCCCGCTGCCCGGGGAGGGCTGTGCTCGCGGGGCACTGGCTGACCCCCGTCTTCTCCCCTCTCTCCTCTCCCTCTCCAGGTTCCCTGGTCCAGGCAGCAGTGACTCAGCCGCCCTTGGTGTCAGCGAACCTGGGAGAAACCGTCAGGATCACCTCCACCACTGATGGCAGCTATGGCTGGGACCAGCAGAAAGAACCCGGGAGGGCCCCCGTCACCGTCCTCTT